AAAACAAAATAGAAACATCCAAAAAAATCCAATCACTGAAAAGATAAAATCCTTTCCTCAAAAATGGAGTAATTTGGGAGCTGAGAAAATGGCTCACGGGGTAAGTACTTGCTGCGCAAGGACTCAAAACCAGGTAGGTTCTCAGGATCCACACAAAAAGCCAGGGGTGGTGATGCACGTCTGTCACTCCAGCACTCTGTGTGTGTGTGTGTGTGTGTGTGTGTGTGTGTGTGTGTGTGTGTGTGTGTGTGTGTGTGTTTGGGTGTTAGAATTGGTATGTGGATAAGTATTGTTTAAATCTGGCTTTGTCATGGAGTGGGAGATCCCAGCTGAATCAACAACAGAGAGGGAGAACAAGGAATAGGAGATCATGGTAAATGAAGACCACATGAGAATAGGAAGAAGCAAAGTGCTAGAGAGGCCCACAGAAATCCACAAAGATACCCCCACAACAGACTGCTGGCAATGGTCGAGATACAGCCTGAACTGACCTACTCTGGTGATGGGATGACCAAACACCCTAATTGTCGTGCTAGAAACCTCATCCAACTACTGAGGGATCTGGATGCAGAGATCCATGGCTAGGCCCTGGGTGGATCACTGGGAGTCCAATTAGTGAGAATGAGGAGGGTTTATATGAGCGAGAATTGTTGAGACCAAGGTTGAATAAAGCACAGGGACAAATAGCCAAACGAATGGAAACACATGAACTATGAACCAATGGCTGAGGGGTCACCAACTGGATCAGGCCCTCTGAATGGATGAGACAGTTGATTGGCTTGATCTGTTTGGGAGGCATCCAGGCAGTGGGACCGGGTCCTGTGCTCATTGCATGAGTTGGCTGTTTGAAACCTGGGGCCTATGCAGGGTCGCTTGGCTCGGCCTGGGAGGAGGGGACTGGACCTACTAGGACTGAGTCTACCAGGTTGATCTCAGACTGAGGGGAAGGCTTTGCCCTGGAGGAGGTGGGGATGGGGGGCAGGAGGGGGGGAAGGTGAGGGGGGCGGGAGTGGGGAGAACAAGGGAATCCATGGCTGATATGTAGAACTGAATTGTATTGCAAAATAAAAATAAAAATAAAAATCTTAAAAAAAAAAGAATTGGTATGTGGAGACAGGCAGATCTTCGTAGCTCCCTGACCACCCAATCTAGAGAAGTGGGTGGGCTCCATTGTCAATTGTACAAACTAAGGTAGGTGGAGAGTGATAGAAAACATCCTATGTCAACCTTTTGTCTCCACTTGTGCATGTGCACACATGCACGCACACACACACACACAGACACACATGGACTACATCAAAGGCGATAACCACCTTTAAAAATGGTTAGTTTTGTTTAAAAATAACAGAGTTAAATGCCAATGTAATAGATTAGATATTTTGTCCTCCAAACACTCTCATTCATTGAAGTTGTAATCCTTAAGTTATGGTTTAAGGAGATGGGACCTCTGATAGAGGATTGGGCCTTGAGGGTAGGATTTTCATGAATGGGATAAGTACCTTTGATAGGGACCTCAGAGTAATTATGTCTTGTTTCTGATATATGAATCACAGTGGAAGGGCTCAGTTAGAATGGCCCATAAAACCGCTTTGACTAGTCCTTGAATCCTCTAACACTTTGACCCCAGATTTCCCAGTATTCAGAAGGATGAGAATTAATTTCTATTGCTTTTTGCTGTCCTGGTTAATATTGATTATGAAGTTGACAGAATCTAGGATCATGCAGGATACAAATTTCTGGGTATGTCACAGAGGTTGGAAGACCTACTCTAAATGTGGATGGTACCATTGTGTGGGCTGGGGTCCAGGAGTGAATAAGAAGGAGAAAGGGAACTGAGCACTGGCACTCATCTCTCTCTGCTTTCTGAATGTAGGAATAATGTGGCCAGCTGCCCCATCCTCCTGCTGCCATGCTCTCCCTTCTATGTATACCCTACCAGGTGTAACAAGTACACCCTCAAGCTGTGAGCTAAAATAAACCCATCCCCCGTAAGTTGCTTTCACCAGACATTTAGTCACAGAAATAAGAATAGTAACTACAATATAACAACCTAAATAGTTCGTGGTATTTACTCGAGGAGCTTGAATGGATTATGCCATCAACACCAACAAAAACATGGTTTGCACCAGAGTAATAATTTTATGTGTCCCAGCACCATATCACTTTTCTATAAACTGAAAGTATGACCCACTCTCCTGAAGACACAGGCCCAGAGACTTTCAAAAAGATAGAAAAAACATCGCAGAACACTTGTACTTATTTGGCACATTGTTGCTATAGCTTAGTATGGGTTTGAAGAATCAAATATTCAATATTGAATCACCCCTGTAGTGAACTGTCATATGATATACATGTTAAACCAGCCAGCTCCCTTGAGTAGATAGAACATTGATTCTTATTAGAGCAAACCTAGACCCCCAATAATTTAAAGCTTCACCAGATCTCTTTATATCTTCAAATATCAATGTTCAAAACATCTTGTCAATTTTGTTTCCCTTTCTATAAAAAGGAAATTATCACTTCAATAACACTGTAGATTTTTTTTAAAGGATGCCTGACATAAAGGGATTTTGAACACTAACATGTGAAGGACAAGCACTAAGAGAGGCAATAAAAATTCAGAGAAAAATACTCATGAGCTAAAGAGAACATTAGTTTCTCCCAAAGGGAGTGGGATGAAAGAATACAGAATGTACAGCTTTTCAATGAGGGTGGAGTGGGGGATGACAACAACGAAATCAGAAAGATTGAGCTTAGGACTTTCCCAGAACACAGACAGGCATTTAGCTTAGTAGGCTTAAAAAATATCTGAAGAAGCCGGGCGGTGGTGGCGCACGCCTTTAATCCCAGCACTCGGGAGGCAGAGCCAGGCGGATCTCTGTAAGTTCGAGGCCAACCTGGGCTACCAAGTGAATTCCAGGAAAGGCGCAAAGCTACACAGAGAAACCCTGTCTCGAAAAACCAAAAAAAAAAAAAAAAAAAAAAAAAATCTGAAGAAGACTTCTGGGCAATGAATACTGAAGATGATTTTGTGAGGCACAGCCTAGGCAGGGGGAAAAGAGTAGAGGATGATATCAAAGGCATGCTCCATGAAGATAAGTCTCTTCCTTGTTATCAACGGAGGAGGAAAAGAAAGCTCCTAGAAGGTCCAGACACCAAAAAGAACGTAGAAAGAAGAATGCTGTAGAAGCTACTAGTTAATATCCTCTGATTAAACAACAGTAAAACTTTATAGTGGATTCAGAAAACATGGACAAGTATAATGAATACAAGTGAGATAATCCACAAGTGTATTTCCCAGAGCAAACCATCATGAAAATATGGCATAATCATCTATATTATTTTACATATTTTTACATATTGTTCATATGTTAAAATATGAGTTCTATATTTTGAAAAATTGAGCCATGCTATTAATCAAATTTTCCATATGCCCTCACCCCCATTTCTCAAATCTTTTTCTGACATTATGTAAAAGGGAATTTTGATGCCTGGATTACGTAAAGTTTAAGTAGAATTATTTGCTTCTTTTTTTTTTCCATTTTAGAAATAGTGCTGTGATGACATTTCTTGTCATAAGTCTTATTATCTCTATTTACTTCTTAAAAGAAACTTAAAAGTGTATCAACATGTCACATTCAAATTAGTCTACTCATTCCTATGACTCACCACCAGGAGTCTCGAGGGACAAACTTCGAACAAGCATATTAAAGAGCCGACACCATTTTTACGTCACTCTCTGTCTATATTTGTCCTTCTGCAGCACACATCTTTCAGGCGCTGCATTATTTCCTCTAGACTAGTGGTTTTCAACCTTCCTAATGCTTCAACCCTTTAATAAAGTTCCTCATGCTGTGGTGGTCCCCAACCATAAAATGATTTCATGGCTACTTCATAACTATAATTCTGCTATTGTTATGAACCATAATGTAAATATTCAATATGCAGGATATCTGATATACAACCCCAAAGCGTTCATGACCCACAGGTTGAGAACCACAGCTCGAGACAAATGGACTATTCCTGGGCTAATCTAAATGCAATAATATAAAACTTGGCTGACCCCAGATTTCTCCAGTATGCTTACAATTACAATTACTGTATCCTGAATATTGAAAACTACCCAATGCTCTCAAAAAACACTTATTTTATCATCCTTTCATTTAAAATGATGCATGATGGGCAACAAAAGAAGAAAAAGTACAGTCGATGGAAGCTTATATCTTTCAAATAGTATGTAAATGCATAGGTTACATATAGTGGAACTTAGAATTTTCTTCAAATTTTAGATTTTCTTGACACTTCAAAGTTATAGGGATTTTATGTGCTCTCAATATATTGAGGTTCTTCATGACACTATTGAGTTACACAGCCTTAATAGTCCAAATTTAAATTCTCTAGTTTATATTTTAAATCATTCTATTCTCAATAGTTAAATAGAGTTTTCAAAATCTCTAAAGCCTATGCATGCATTAATTCAGTTAAATAAAGGTACATTTAAAAGATTTCCCTTCTATTGGCCAATGAAAAGCAAAGTAAAACAAAATATATCAAAACCTCATCTCTAGCACAGGCCATATTAACTTTAGAATTACTCAAATTCTAAGGCCTCCTCAGAATTATTGTTCAGATGAGGGCAGCCAGGACTGTGCTATTCAGTCGTGCAGCCTGAACACCACACACCTCTGGAGGGAGCAATTGGACCCTGATCAATGTACTCTCTGGAGTGGTACAGTAAGCAATCTATGCAGCCCTACACGATAACCTTGAAGTTGGTGCCCGTAATTCCACTTGTGCAACCCATTACTTATTTATGCATCTTTCTCTCTGGTGAGCAATGAAAACGAAAAGTTTTAGAGCGAAGTTGTCTTTAGAGCTACCTACTTCTTTCCTTTTAATGAAGAACATCCTGTAAGGAAACAATAACAAATTTTCCTGGCTCCCCTCTGTCACAGACGATCACATTTTCTGGCTTCCCATGTTCCCGGGCAGCCACCCACCAGGAAGCAGCAGCAGGCTACCTTGTGTGAGTAACTGCAGGTTTCTGACTTCTTCCCGCACCTTCAGTTGGAGCACCTGCTGCAGGATGTGCTGTCGCTGGCTCTCCTGGGCGATCCCCATGCGTTCCAGCTTCTTGTCTGTGAGTCTCAGCAGGGCTCGCCCTGCAGGGGTTGAAGAAATGGAGAGAGAGGCAAGTGAGCAATACCCTGGGGGAATGACTTGCAGCTTGGTTTTGGCCAGCCCCGACAAAAAAAAGTTTATAACTAAGTGCAGATGATGTAGAACCGAGGGACCCCCATGGTCTATGCTGATAGGACTGATGATGTGCACAGAGAAAACCCACCTATACAAAAGAGAGCACTGGTTTTTATGTAACAGTGGCAACCCTCAGTAGACCCAATGAGGTAGGTGAAACAGCGAACTTTAACTTGCATATTTGGGTCATCAGTTGCTGGTTTCCATGGAAACAGTGCTCTTCACTGGGTGATGGGTTCTCAGGCTGGCCAGGGTGCCCCCTTTTGACACCCCAGCTGCAGAACTAGATGCTCTCACTACGCATATGGGAACTCCAGCAGCAATTCTGTTTTAGTGAAACACACGTCTAAGGTCTGTTTTTGATCTGAAGACATCCAGCTCTCTGGCTGCAGCTGTGGGAAGCTCTGCTCACCTCAACATTTGCTGAGGATAAAAGACCCACAAAGAGGAGGTTAAGAGAAGACAAGGGAAGGGTGCCATTCAGGAGGGCAAAACCAGGAGCTCTGGTGCTTATGATGCCACATATCTAGGTCTTGGCAACTCAGCATGCCTCCCTTCCAGCTCCATTTTCTCCAACTCCAGATATCTGTATGTTTTTCTTCTACCTTGATTTCTATGAAGTCCCCAAATTATGCCCTACTGTGCATTTACCTTGAAATAAGCATACTTCACTTCCATTGCTTACTCTAAGAGAGCGATCTTGTAAAATGCCCACAGCACCATTTACTCTTTTTTCACAGCCTCAGCTGTCACACCTGCGGATGGATCTGTTATCATTTCTATCATGAGGAAAAGACAGAAGCAGCTGCCTGTGATCAATGGCAAGTCTGTGAGTACAATTTTATATAGACGCTGGAAACTGTTGGAAAGTCCACACCCATGTATTGGGTGTGTGTATGTTCTTTTCCTAAACACCACTCTCCCTTCCCTAATATCCATGTTTAAATCTACATTAGAGTTGCTTCTTAACAAACTGTGACTCCGCTTCTTTTGGAAGAAAGAAATGAAATCTTCTATCACCTTGGAAAAGAAACCAAACAACTAGAAGGTGAAGTTAATGGGCATTTCCATCAAAGAAACAAGAAAGCACATGAATGTAGCTGATGAGTGGGCAGCCTGTGAATAGATACAGGTGGATGGAGAGGAGCAGCTAGCAGAGTCAGTGGTGTTCAGTCTTCATCTTCCCTTCCTGTTAACCCTTGCACAGAACATTCGTCAAGATAAACCAGGATATATGCTGCATATGATGGCTTAAAATGATGCAGCAGAGCTTCCTGGTTTATTTTGAATGGTTTTTCTTTGCTTGATTTTGAGACAGGGTCTTAACAAGTAGCCCATGCTTGCCTTAAAATCCTCCTGCCTTACACTCCCAAGTACAGGAAATTATGGTGGAGAACTGTGTCTGGCTTTATTCTGCATGCTGACTGCAAGTCTTCCTTCCTTGAACTTGGTAACATTGATAATCAAAGCAAAGGTAGAAAAGAGTGCTTATGTATCTCATTCACCAATGGACTGCTTGGCCTACAGCCATTTATTAGCCAGGAACAATGTCATGGCTCTTCCCACTTAGAAAAAAAAGCCAGCTGTATATTGTGATGTGCAATGATTCTCTCCAGTCCTCTGCCCAGAAGTGAGGTGGGTAGGGTAGGGTAGGGAGGAATATTGAATGAGAATATTGATGGCATGACCATGGAATATGGTCTGGGAGGAAAGTGTGTGTGTGTGTGTGTGTGTGTGTGTGTGTGTGTGTGTGTGTGCGCGTGCGTGCGTGCGTGTGTGTGTGTGTGTGTGTGTGTGTGTGTGTGTGTGTGTGTGTGTATGTGTTGAGAGTGATCTACAGCTTCTGTGGCATTCTGATGAAAGAAGTCCCATAGATAGAGCTCAGGCTTGGTTCCACCAGATGATCATGGTAACCATGAAAAGGGAACAAGAGGACAAAAGCAGACACATTCCCTTGCCATTGCCTTCTACAGCAAGATAAAGTAACAGCACTGGAGGATGTTCTAATCTAATTTGTTACCTTACATGGCCAAAGAGGCTTTGTAAAGGTGAGTGAAGTATAAGGAACCCAAGATGGGAGAATATCATATATCACCCAGGCAGCCCATCAAGTATCCTTTGTAGTGATACAAAGGAACAGAGAACTTGAGAGAGAGAGAGAGAGAGAGAGAGAGAGAGAGAGAGAGAGAGAGAGAGAGAGAGAGAGAGAGAGAGAGAGAGAGAGAGAGAGAGAAATGGTGTGGAAATGCAAACAGGAGTTAGAGTGGCCAGGAGCTATGGAGTCCCTACAGATTCCAGAGGCTAAGATTTCAAACTTGCTTCTCTCCCACTTTCATACTCCAAAAGTCTCAAACATCTCACTTTGAGTCCCATGACACCCATTTTTGAACTTCTGAATTTCACAAATGTAGGAATATAAACATGGATAATTTTAAGCCTCCAAGTTTGTTACAGCAGCAGCAGTTATCCTCATGAATGGAATTGACAGCATTTTAAGAACTCAAATAGGCAAGTTCAAGCCTGAAAAAATCCCAACATGCAGGAGGGAGGTGGGCAAAGTCTCACCCCCAGATGAGAAGATACTAGCAATTGATCGCTTGTGGGAAAAGAAGAGTCAGTTTTCTTTAAGGGTGTGTCCCAAGCCTGGTAGGTTAACCATGCTTCAGGGGATGATCCCACCCACACCCAACAGTATTTGGGCAACACAGATTTAATTCAATTTATTTAAGGACATGAAGTTGGATTGGCAAGTACATGGGAATGGGTCTGGAGGAGCTAAGGGAGGGAGGATGTATATGATCAAAATACATGTTTATGAATAAAGTACAATGGTATGGAGTTATTCTCAAAGAATAACACTAATAATTTTTTTAAAAAAATAACTCAAACAGAGAGCTCTTTCCTTTTCCAATTTCTGTGTGGGGGCCATCATGAAAAGTAGAGAACAGATGGTAGTTAAGGAACAGTAACCTTGAGTCCTGGGTCTGTCTGGGGAGGAGACACTAGAACGTGGGAGAAAGACAGGGAAGAAAAGTGTCAAGGAAGTCAGAGGAATGGACAATGTCACTACAGTAGGGTGGAGAAAATAGGACAAAGGTGGGAAGCAGCATCTGAGAAGAGGCCGGGACAGAGTTCAGGAGGGCCTGGCAGGCTCTGGGAGGCCTGGATATGAAGTGTGAAGAGTTCTGAGCAAAGACAACTTGGGCATTATGCCAGGCCTTCACTAGATCTTCACTGGTTCTTATGAGGAGAATAGATTGGAGGTTGGGACATGGAGAAAAGTCAAAACAGGAAGTGATGGTGCCACAAAGCCCAGTCAAGGGGCAGGAGCAGTAAGGCTCCTGGCTCTATTTTTATGACTTTACAATTCCTAGAAGCAGCGTGGAGGAAAGGAGGTCCTCAGTTCCCATTCAGGTTTCCAAGCTTATCCACAATGGCTGGTGGCCCCTTTTATGAGCAGGAAACTGAATCACTGCTCTAGGAAAGGATGTGATAGAGGAAGGAAATCTGGTCTGTTCCTGCTAGTCTATCTCCAGCAAACATCTGGAATCTTCAGAAGTAATGAAATAGGTAGAACTAAAAAAGTAGGTGATTAAAACATCCCTTATTCTCATTCCTTCATTCCTTCAATGTCCTCCTCAAACCCCGAAAGCACTGAGCTAGCAGGTAGCATTGGTAGATCACAATAGGAGTCACAGAACTAAGAGGTTATCGCAGTGACCCAACCTCTGTTAAAAATATTCACAGGACCCCTTGATAATGGCCAGGGAAGACTCCGTGAAGATGTTCACACAGCAGAAACTTGGGTGTGGTGTTCTGGTAGCAACCTTGAAAAATTCAAGTGTTGGTGCATCTGAAGCTTCAGTCTGTCCAAAAAGGCATTATTGTCTATGTCCCTTGAGCACACCAATTCCATAAACATAGGCATGGTGGTGAACTTCATAAGCCAACTTGACTGGGCCATGAGATATCCAGATACTTAGTTACTTATTAGCCTGAGTGTTTCCAGATGATATCAATAATTACTTATTTTTAAATTTCATATATGTGGGCTGTATTTAAACTATTCCTCCTCTTCCCTCCAGCCCCTTCTGTGTACCACTCCCACCTACCCATTCCCTCTCAAATTCATAGCCTGTTAAAAATTATTATTGCTATACATATATATACATACACACAAATAAATACATAATACAGCTTGCTGTGTCCATTTAGTGTGTAGCTCATATGTACATGTTTTAGGACTTACCACTTGGTATTGGATAACCAGTCAGGGGACTCATCCCTGGGGAGGACTGACCCTTCCTCTCTCAGCAATCCTCAGTTGCCTGTATCCCTTCATCGAGGGGTAGGGCCTTGGGAGATTTCACCAAGCAGAACTGGGATGTCAATTGACATTCATATTTTGTTTAAGCAACTACACTTTTGAGAGCTCATGGGCATCTTTTTCGTCATGTAGAGATGACAGTCTTGTAGCAGATGTTCTGGCCCTCTGGCTCTTATATTCTTTCCACCCCTCTTATATGATGTCCCTGAGCCTTAGGTCATTGATCCTAGAGAAAAACCTATTACTGCCACTTTCCCAAACCAGTATTTAACTGCAATCTTAACACTTACCCTTATTCCCACAGGTAAGTATAGAGCATCAAAGAAACATCCTTTGCAGCAGGTGGGGGACTATTACAGAAAGCTACAACTGGTCAAAATGCAGAGAAACACTGATTGTGAGGTGCTCAGAATTCTTACATCTACAACACAACCCCTACAACTAAGGCTCAGAGACTGATAATTAAAGTGATAGAATAGATAAGGCAGATTGCATCCTATAACATATAGCATCTCTTGCCTCTGGGCTCAAATGAGGACATCAGGTTTACAGATTTTAAATTTGGCAATTTCTATAACT